GGTCCTCCACATCTTCCAGAGCTAACTCATAGGGCCCCTCGCTGTCGGAGTCTGTTTGCAGCTCCAACGGCTCCTGCTGGGCCACAACACTATTCTATTGCTGAAATAGTTTTTCCTTCAATCAAGATTAGAATGGATTAATTTAGTTTGTATCTATTGATGCCCTTGTGTTATTGCAGTTGAAGTAAAAGTAGTCATTTAACAGGTAGGACGTTATGGCAGATTATCATGCGCACTAAGCTCATGTTGGGAATGTAGACAGCGTAGTTCAAGGTTATCCAGGCCTAAAATTTCAAGCCTGATGGTTCCAGTTGTCCGATGCATAACAGCAGCTTGGAGATGCACTGAGTTCTGAAATCATGCCCGCTGTGATACTTTTTGCTTTTCTTTATTGTTCAAAGAGAAAGGTTGCAGGAAGAACAACCTCAGACAAATGCAAGTGTCAGATGAGATGAATGTGTGAGAAAAAGTGTCTGTGCACTTTTGACTGGCTGGAATAACAGATCTCATCTCCATTGCCTTTCTAATAAAGGGATCAGAGTTTGAATGATAGCGCTTAGCAATAGCGCTTAGACTTATACACCGCTTCAGTGTTTTACAGCCCTTTCTAAGCATTTTACAGAGTTGGCCTCTTGCCCCCAACAATCTGGCTCCTCATATTACCCACCTTGGAAGGATGGAAGGTGAAGTTAACCGTGAGCCTGGTGAGATTTGAACTGCCAGATTACAGGTAGCTGGCAGTCAGCAGAGGTAGCCAGCAGTACTGCACTTTCACCACTGCGCCACCGTGGCTCAAGACATGATACATGTATTGGATACATGCATTATCCCCAAATACACATTTTAATGTATACTTTGGTACTTGACGAAGCTTGAGAATTGCCCTTTGCTGGCAAAATAATCATCTCTTAAAGTTTGGAGAGTGGGTAATTTCTTGGAAATTTAACCTAGTTCATGTAATCCATCCACAGTTTTCTCAACTCATTATCTTGTTTCTCTGTTGTGGCTCGGCAGGAGCCTTTGGAGCTGCTATCAGACTCTGAAAGCAAGGAGCCCTATGAGTCAGGCCTGGAGGAGGCGGAGGGCCCTGGACAGGGTTCTGACTCTGAGCAGGGCTCAGAGAGACTAGTTGGTC